TTTAAAAGTGAGTTTAATTGGACTTGTATTTCTTTTACTGCTGGGGATAGACTTGATCAATTAGTACTATTTCTTCCACTTAGTTATTTGTTTTGAAACTTACTCAACTCACTCTTACTCTAATATAACTTAGTCTTTTGTTTCCCTTAAGCTTTATGGCTGTATGTGTTTCATAACGTAACTGGATATCTAGCTGCAAAGTTTTAATAGAATATTGTTACATAAATCAAGAGCAATACTTGTTTGGTGTTCTAAACTGCCTCATTTTTCAAAAATGACCGACACAAAGTTTACTGGTACGGTCTAATGGGTGATGTACAATCTGAAAATCTAGAAAATTTACAAAACAAAAGTAGTTCATGTTATGTTTAAGTTTTTATAACAAATATCTTTGTCTTCTTTGCAATTAGGTTACAAATTGTCTCTTTTGACTTTATATGTTTTATTTAAATTACCAATTTCGCCTACTAGAAATTTGAATATGTAAATATCTATGTGCAATAGGGTTGGAACGTTCCGTTCCTCAGTATTTCTTATGACGAGGACTTTTTTTGTTATTTTCAAATAATATATCAAATAATAAAATAAATATTTAAATAATAAAATAAACTATCAGTAATTTTCATGGTAAGGACTTTTTTTGTAGTGTCCCAATACAGATGAAAACGTGTACTCGGTTGACTAAAAGTGTCTTTCCCGTCTTTTTTTTATATTTTTCGTAAACAGCATTCTGTTTCTATTTACAATGGTTTTAAAATCTTTAGTTTTTTACTTATGTATTCTTTTTCAACACTATACAAAGTGTTAGAAGTAAATTAATATTTACGTATTTTACTATTGCGTATTGATAAATCACGCGTAAAGCTTTAGCTGTTCCATCTTCGCTATCTAAATCTAGGACTGATTCTGCTACTCTATTTTTCTGTTTTGTTTAGTTTTTGGTCTATGGTTTTGATATAATTAATCCAATAAGGAATGTTGAGTTTATTTTGATTACTTAGTTTTTGATAAAGTAATTTCAAATAAACAATGACTGATGACTAAATAAGCTTTACCTTAGTTTTTAGAATGTAAATGACGAGTATTTTTAGCTTTGAACCATTCTTTCATTTTGCAAACAAAAATTTGGTACCTTAATCAGTTTGTAAAAATGTAAAATGTTCATCAAAAAAAATTTTTATATCTTTAAAAATAACTTTAAAAAATCTCGACAAAACTTTGTTAACATTTTTTTTTCCTGTAAGTCTTAAAAATACATTTCCAGAAACATCATCTACAACAACTAAACAATATTCTAGATAACTACCGAAATTAAGACTAAAAATGTCCATGTCTGCCAAATTAGCTTGAAAATATTGATGAGGTTTTTCTTATGAAAATTGATGCGTTTTACAATCATAGGGTTTACGTTGCGCTTGTTTTTTTGCGTTAACATTGGCTTTTTTTTAAACAGCAATGTGTGATGAGACCATGCAGTAAATTTTTTGACTAGTGTTAAAAATAATTCTGTTTTGGTAACTCCTGTTGGCGTAAAAGTAAAATAATCAAATTTTTTCAAACTTGGTTCTTAGAAAGTTTTGATGGCAATAAGTTCAAAAAACATATCTTGTTCTTTAATTTTATTTTAATTTTTTAAAAGTTTGAAATTCTTTTACTTGTTTCAAAGTTGAAGAAAATTCAAACTATTTTTTATATTTTTTTAAGACAAAAAAAAATAAAAAATTTGGCAAGATGCAAATTGTAAATTGTATCCATTATCGTCATCATTTCTATAATTTTTTTTTGCTTAGATGTGTCATCAACATTATAAAACTGATTCGCATTTGTTTGAATTTCTTCAAAATATAGTAATTTTCCGCTTTTGGCACAGCAATTTTGACATTTTCTTTTAACACTACAATATTTATGAAAAGGTAAAAAAGATGTTGAAGAAAACAATGTTTTAAATGTAAGATAAAGCGTTTTGTAAATAAAAAACGCAGAAGAGATTATTGAATTGAAGAGCTTAGTGCTAAAAGTACTTAGTCACAAAAAAATATTTTGAGAAAATCTACTTTGATCAGAGATATAACACTTTAAAGTAAGGATTTAAAATGGCTGATAAAAGTAGATTTCTCAAACATTTTTTTGTGACTTAAGTACTTTTAGCACTAGGCGCTTCAATAGACCTTTTGCCAGATAACGACGTCATTATAACTACGCATTGCATTTTGGGATTGCCTGGGAGCAAACAAAAGTTAAATTCGTAAATATCCTGTTGTTTCTAATAAGTTTTTTAAAAGTTGACCATTATTATCTATTTGGTTTATAACTATTATTTTTTTTATTTGCAACACTCTTTTGTAATGGGTAAGAGCGATCATTGTGCAATTTTTGGTTGTAACAACGATCGTCGATACAAAGAAAAGTATGTTTTGAAAGATCATATTTATAAGACTTTTAGTTTCAGCGAATTAAAATTTTTTACTTGTAAAGAGAGTTATTTTTTGACATGGAGTAAAATTATTAACAGAGAAATAGTCGATCCTTTAACAAAAAAAAGAAAGCTATATGCTGTAAATAAGAATACAAAAGTATGTGCAAATCATTTTGAGTATGGGAAGCCAACTGAGCTATCCCCTCATCCAAAGTTATATTTGAAAGGATACAAAATATCTCCTCCTCAAAATAAAAGAAAATTACCAATTCCTCGATATACACCTACTAAAGTTTCTAAAAAACATAAAAATACACATTTTTCAAGTACCTGTACCACTACTAGTAGCAGTAACAATAATGACAATATTCTCCAACAGTCTTCTCTGTCAATATCTCCTCCATGTCTATCATCAACAGCATCTAATCAGCAACTTTCTCCACAACAAATCGATTTAATTACTAACACACCAGCAACTTATCTAACACCAACAACACTTTATAAACAAAGTAGTCATAAAAGATTAACATGGGAGGCAGTGCGTTCTTTACCCAAAGTCATAAAATTGTTCTCTGGGTGTCCCACTGAAAATGTTTTTTTATATATTGTTAGTCGTGTTCAAGCTAAACATAAAAAAGTGTCTTATTTTATGGATTATAAACGTTCATTTGAACCAAAGCAATATCAGTTTAGTCCTGCTAGTAAACCTTCAAGTACAGGGAAACCTGGTCCAGCACGACAGCTTTTTGTTGAAGATGAAGTGTTACTTATTTTAATGCGTATTTGACTTGACTCACCATTACAAGATTTAGCATTTCGTTTTAAAATTTCAGTAAGTCATGTGTCTAGGATTTTAACTACATTTATAACTTTATTAGCCCGAGAAATTGAACCATTAATTTATTGGCCTGCTCCAGAAGAAACATTAAGTTTTACACATCCTCATTTTATTGGAGATTTCGTTTATGTTGAAGGTATTGGTGACCGTACTGAACAAACTATTCAAAAATCTGCTAATGCTAAAGCTCAATATCAAACATATAGTTCTTATAAAAGTAGAAACACATTAAAAAAACTTATATTTTGTACTAAAGGCGGTTCTATCTCTTTTGTTTCTAAAGGTTACTCTGGATCTTCCTCAGATCGTTTTATCACTGAAGATTGCAATGTTGCAAAAAGATTCACTCCTGGTTTTATTGCACTTTTTGATAAAGGTTTCAATGTTCAAGATTTATTTCTATCAAGGCAGGTAAAAGCTGTAACTCCACCATTTTTACGTAGTAAGCGACAGTTTACACCCTCTGAAGTGTATCATTGCAAGCGCATAGCACGTGCAAGAATACACATTGAACGTGTCATTGGAAGGCTGAAAGAATTTCGACTTCTAAAGAACACTCTGCCTATCACATTAGTCCCTCTAATCGATGATATATGGATAATTGCTGCTGCCATTGTTAACCTGCAACCACCTCTTGTAAATGCAACAGCAGTATAAATTGTTGTTCTTTGATGTTGTTTTTGAATGTTTTTTGAACTAGTTGTACCGTGTGCAGCTTGCAAAATCCTGGTTGTTACTTGGCGCTTCCCTGAGACCTGTTCGAGAGTGGCAACCAACCACTGTTCATTTTTTTTGAAAAAAAGAACAGTGGTAAGTTGCCACTCTCAAACTGGTCCCAAAAAAGGCCCAGGAGTGTCGAGCTCTTACCTAGATTTTGCATGCTGTTTAGTTTGCTCTTTAAATTTTGGTTATTATTGTGCTATTTTATGAAATTTGGTTAATTTTTTGTTACATATTTGCATTTTAATATCTTTGCAGCCTGCAAAATTCTAATCATCACTTGGCATTCCCCAGACCCTTTTCAAGACTTGTTTGAGAGAGGCAACAAACCACTATTCATTTTTTTTTAAAAAGGAATAGTGGTTGATTGCTCCCCTTGAGCAGGTCCCAAAAATGGTCCGGGCATGTCAAGTTCTGACCTGAATTTTGCAGGCAGGTGTTTGCTCTTAAATTTATAGTTATTATTGTGCTATTTTATGAAATTTGGGTAATTTTTTATTTATATTGGTATTTTAATATCTATGCAGCATGCAAAATCCTGATCATGACTAGGCAACCTCTCAGACCTTTTCCGAGGCCCATTTGACAGAGACAACCAACTACTGCTCATTTTTTCTAAAAAAAGAACAGCAATTGGTTGCCCCCCTCGAGTAGGTCTTGAAAACGGTCCGGAGGTGCCGAGTTCTGACCAGGATTTTGCTCCTTAAACTTTGGTTATTATTGTACTATTTTATGAAGTTTGATTAATTTTTTATTTTATATTCCCATTTTAATATCTTTGCTTGCACAATTATGTATCATTAATTTTGAAAAACTGCAGTTTTATAGACAAAATAAGCTTTAATCTTTAGGTTATATTGTTACATAGATTTTCAGCTAAATTTGCCATTTGACAGCTGGTGTCAAATGGCAAATTTAGCATTTGACATCAATAGGATTTGACATCAATACAATGTACAATTTTAATACTTTTTATATATATTTTTAACAAACATTACTTTTTTTTATTTTTGCTTATTTGCCCGAGTATCTAACTTAGAATTTTCCGGATTTTAAAGAATATTTATATGATTGTCAGGGTTATTATTAGTATATTTCAACTTTCACCTTTTTTTTAGTTTCTATATACGGTTTTTTATTCATTGTAAATATTATCTAAAGCAAGAAATTAATTTTAAATATATATCTATATTTAGTTACATTTTGTTACCAAGAACTTAGTATCAAGAACTTATATTTATTCCTAGTGACGGATGCTCGGTGTAGTAAAGGCACTCTTAAAAAATATTATAGGGTCTCTAAGATATTTTGTTGACTACGACATATTTCCGTTAAATGATCAGGTCTGTAAATTATGAAAAGATTAAAGTGATATATTTCGCAGTATAATAAAATATAAATGTTTGTAGCGAAAAAACCCAGACCGAAAATTATTATTTTTTTTTTTTTTTTTTTTTTAAATCATCTTAAAATCACAATCGCTCGTCCAAATTTGAATAAGATTTTAAATAAATACGTTTTTTAGGTGAAATGAACATTATAGTTTAACAATATAATTTGTTCTGGTCGTTAATTGGCAATTTTCCATAATTATAAGCTCTTTCTTGTCGGAATTCTAGTATTTTTTGTTAAAATTTATAAAAATATTGTGTTTTGACAACTATATATAGTTAATGTACGTCAGAACCGATTAGAATTAGTAAATTAAGGACCTTTTTCAAAGGATTTTAACTAAATTTATGTTATTGCCGATGAGCAAAATTGATCTAAAGGCTCCAAAATAGTGTTCTTTAGATTCACTATTACTGGTAGTAAAAAGGTTTTGAAAATTATATTAAAAAAAAGTTTCTTTAAATATTAAAAAATCTTAAGCAAAAAAAGTTAAACCGTCTAAAGTTTTTGTTTGGACAATAAGCTAGTAAAGCTAATAATTGGACAATTGGAAAATAAAGCTATAAATTGGACAATAAAGCTAATATTTGGACAATAAGGCAATTTACAAATTATTCGAATACTTTTATTTGAAATTAGCGTGATTTTAATAGCTATTAGAAGCTAATAAAATCACGCTAATTTCAAATAAAAGTATTCGAATAATTTGTAAATTGCCTTAACTACACCGAGTGTAAGAAGTTTGGGTGGGTGTGAACCCCGCTTTCTTGGTAAAAGACTTTTTTTTCTTTTTTAAAAATTTTGATATGGAGGACTTTTTTTACAAGTTGATGATCGTGACCCCCGTCCCTCCACTTCGAAATCCGTGTCGTCAGCCTTAAACTGTATATACCTTGGATCCGTCACTATTTAACCCAATAACTATAATCCTTGCTAAACCTAATACATTTTGTAACTTCTAGTACTAGTGTTTTTTTAATACTGAGGGGACCCTTGAGTTTAGGTCACAGTGCGATTGCACCTGCATAGTGCTGACTCAGCACTATGCAGGTGCAATGCGTTTTCAGCACTGCTGAGGACGCGTATGTCATGTCTTATTTCCTTGAATTTGACCTGTTTCCATGATTTAAATATTAGTCAAAATTTCAATTTCAAAAAAAAAAAGCACTTGATTTTTTTTTAGAAAAACGTTATGTTATTGCAACCAAATTTATAGGTCATAATAATTAAAAATAATCATCTGCCCACATTATGTACAAAACGATAGATGTCTAGCCGGCCAGACATCCGTCAGTCTTATCTATTTAGCTATTTCCCCTGAGATTACCTTGATTTTTCCTAAATTCAACCCTATTTCCCTAATAGTTCTTTTTTTTTTTTTTTTTTTGCAGACATCTGAAATCCCTGACGTTTCCCTAATCCCTGTATGTGATAAAAGTGTCTAGGTATATAAAAGTTTAACAATGTCAAAGTTTGTATTAAAAAAAAAAAATAAAGATATTATGCCAAGTAAAAAAATTCTAATTTATTAAACAATCACAGATATAAATTGACATTAAAAATAAATAAAAAACTGTATAATAGTGTGCTGCTAATAATTATCACTGTTGTTGATATTCCTATATTGATAAATGGTAACGCTCCTATAGAGTCTTCTACTTTACGCCTTCTTGGATTAATTTTTTGCAACCACCTCTTGTGGAAACTTTTTCTCTTGTGGAAACTAACTTTGGAATTCTTATAAAGAATTCCAAATTTAGCATCGGCTAAGGATGTTATTCATTAAAATGTGCTCACCATCTTCTCACTCCTGATTCCTAAGAATTTAATTGTCCCTGTATGGAATACTCTTGCCGCATTTGGGCTAGTTCAAACTTAATTAACCCTGTATGACATACTGTTGTCACATTTGGGCCAGTTCTTCTAATGATGCCCATTCTTTTAAACCACAAAACTTATTATAAATAAAGTTAGACCTGTTACTTTTTAAGCTTGACCCTGTGTCCCATGGTTGTGATATTGCATCTCTTTCTCTTTTTTAAAATACTAATGTTCCATGAACCAAATCTTTTTTTAATTATGCGTGATTTTTCATTCAGCAAAGTCACTTGGTTTAAATATAGAAATAGTGTTATTGCAGCATCAGTATCCGTACAGTAAACAGATAATTTTACAGTATCTATTTCTTCATGCTCTAAAAACTTTTATTCCTCTAATTTTTTCTTTGCACAGTCTTCATTCAACCGCTTTCTCTTTGTTTTCTGACACTCTTCACTGAAACAGTGGTGCTTACATCGTTGTTGGTAGTGAATTAGATTTAAAAAAATCTAACATGAAAATGTATAATTTTTATTTATCATTAGTTGTTTATTTAGTTTAAATTTTATTTTTTTTCAATCATTTTATTTTATTCTATTTATTTTGGTTTTTAAATATATTTATTTCTATTTTTTTTACAATTTGTTAAAGAAAAATATTAGATAAGTGGATAAGTTTTTTCTTCTAATTTATTATTGCTGTTTTTTAAGAACATTGAGCACTCTATTTGTAGAATAGAATAACATTATATATATATATACATATATATATATATATATATATATATATATATATATATATATATATATATATATATATATATATATACATACATATTATTTTATATTCTTTTTATTTTATATATATTACATATTTGTATTTTATTTTTAATTTTATTCTTTTTATTTTATTTTTTTCATTTAATTATTTTATATATACATATATATATATATATATATATATATATATATATATATATATATATATATATATATATATATATATATATATATATATATATATATATATATATATATATATATATATATATATATATATATATATATACATACATACATATTATTTTCTATTCTGTTTATTTTATATATATTACATACTTTTATTTTACTTTTTATTTTATTCATTTTATTTATTTATATTTTATTATACATATATATATATATATATATATATATATATATATATATATATATATATATATATATATATATATATATATATATATATATATATATATATATATATATATATATATATATATATATATTAATTTTATATAGTTTTCTACAGTTTTCTTTTACAAGATAGTGGTGAGTCTTTGGACAGCATTTGGTAATTATCTGATAATTGTTTTAGTTCTAATGCTGCTGTATTTTGCTTTTCTACCTTTTCAACTTGTGAAACAAGGCTTTGGATGACTTTACTGCAGGTGTAGGTGGTTCTCACAAAGTTTATGTCATATAAATATGGAAGCATAATATCGTTAAAATATGTAACTAATTTTGGTAGGCACAATAAGAAATTTGGATCTTTAGCAATACGAAATGTGCAAGAATCTTTGGGTAAATAAATTTCAAAGTCACAATAATTGGCACCTGTAACAAATATTTGGTGCTGAACTTTGGTGTAATAAGGGTGATTAAGTTTGATTGCAAAACTTTCATTACTTTTTACTATAAAACAAGAAGACATTGAAAGGTATTCTG